CCCTTGGCTTTTCACTTCTCTTTTCCACAGATGGGGGGGTCAGATAAGGAGCCTGGCTGATCTCTCCTGCTGATAGCTGCTTACAATTGGATCTTTTCTTTTTTCTCATCTCTCGCTTTAACTCAATAATGCATCTTAAGGCCGCTGGAAACGTCCCTCGTCTTGGTCTGGTCTCCTGACGAGAGCTTCCTGTTTATAAAGACATGTGAAGCTTTATCAGACTGATGCTCAGAGTTCATGTAAAAAAAAAAAGAAGAAAACAACAACCCATGAATCGTGTATGTTGAGCTTCCTCTTGTGCTGTGAAGTAACCTCACCTGAAATCAGAGTGGAAACCACGACATCCCAGTTTGTTCAATCGTGTTGAAGTAATAATAATCATGTTAATTATAATTATTATCTCCTCATCAGTGTCACCGTGTTCCAAGAAACCAGCTGTTTCAAAATAACCTGGAAACGTATCATCACATTACTTTAACGCAGTTAACTGTGATTTGTTGAGTTGATTAATAGTACTGTTTTTAAATCTAAAGGAGATAAATAAATAAATACGAGAGAATTACAAAGATGTGAGATTTTTATTGAATTCATTTTTTTCCTGAAATCCCCTGAAAGACCAAATTTTTCTCTGATAGTCAAAAAAAAAAAAAGTCCAGAGGAAGCAGCGAGTGTTTGCATCAAGATATTAAAGCAGTTTTCAAAATTGGGTTTGAACATCTGCTGTAGCTTGTGTTTCTCGTGTGAAGCAGCAGCAGGAGTTTGTCCTGGGCCTGTTTCAAGTTGACGTCTTCTCCGAGTTCGCCTCCTCTTCTTCATCCTGAGATATTTGTATTCTTCCTGCTTCCCGTCCGTCACGTGTTAGAAACCTCATGTTTCCTGATGTACTCTGTCGAGAAAAACTTCCAGAAAACGTGCGGAGCCACTTACTCGGTCACTTGCGTTCTCGCACGCAGCCTGGTGCGGTTTTAGTTTCGAAATTGAAACGGATTCGTGTTTCAGTCTGGACGGACAGAAACCACCAGACTACCAGCAGTGGATGCACCTTTCCCGATGGTGCAAAGTTTTGAAATGGTCGTGATGTTTCAGTTTGCGTTGGTTCATAACCGCAGAATGTAGCTCGCTCGCTCGCTCGCTCGCTCGCTCTCTCGTGTCGTCCCCGGCTCCACTGAGCTTCGCTGACCGTGTGTGTGGCGATCAGGTGCATCTGCTGAGGATTTCTCTGGATGACGTTTTCTTGAGCGCCGCCACAAGTAGTCTCTTCCTGTTTGTTCATATCTGTTTCCATAGAGAGGCCTATCAGCTGTGAACTCCCAGCAGACACCTACACTGAAGCCAGCAGCGAGGCCTGGAGATGTATTCCAGACCCCGAGGCTGATAAACCCAGGCTAGACTTGGCGTGTATGCAAGAGAGAGAGAGAGTGTGTGTGTGTGTGTGTGTGTGTACACGTGTGCGTCTCGGGGGTGTCATGGCCGTCTTTATCAGTGCTCCTGGTCCACCATGCTTCCCCGTGCACCAGGTCCCGGCTGCTGTCGAGGCCAGCGAGGCTCTCAGCCCCGTGACTCTCTTGTGATTTGGCAGACATTTTGATAGGAGAGAGTGAGAGTGATAAGGACTTTGTTTGGCTGTGGTGTGTGTCTGTGTGTGTGTGTGTTTGTGTTTGTGGGGGGGTCAGCAGAGTTGGGGGGGTTGTGGTACCACCACCACCACCACCACCACCACTATGACTACTCATGCATTGTGTCCTCCATGTTGTTTTCAGGGTGCTGATACTGATATGACAGATTCCAGCCGGGTTTTATTATCGCAGTGATGCAGCTCTGACTTCCTGTTTGATGATGATTCATACGACTCATTAATGTCGTTTGAAATTGTTCAGACTGATTCCTGGTTTTTTCGTTGTTTCTCTTCTGTCGTCCGGTTTGTTTTTGGTGTTGAGCTCTTAATGCAGAGTCGGCTGCACCTTCACAGTAAAAGTCAGTTTTGAACAATGCTCTTAAGATGAAAATGACACTGGCCTCGTCCAAACTATTCTCCAACTGAGACTTTTGTAAACAACGACGCCCGCATTCTCTTCCTGATTGGTTCTCATCAGTCACATGACTCCACTACCAGCGGTGAAGAGCTGCTAACACACGTTGTTGCTCCAAGACAAAGAATCCCTGCTCTTACTTTTCATCATGAGCTGTTCCCTCGTTAGCGGAACTTTCTGTAACTAAGCAACCGACTACAGCTTCTACTTCCTGTTTACAGGACCAGCGTTACTACATGTGACCTCAGGTGTTCGTTGGATTCGTTTCTGCATCACGTTGTAAACTTTTCATCACATGCTCCCGGTGTTTGTAGAGCGGACTCAGAAAATGTAACTTCAGGAATGTTGATGCATTTGTTCTTCAAGTCGTCTGATTTCATCGTCAGAACAGTTTGAAGTTTCATCTCATGTCAACGTGTTCTGTGATTTGTTTTCTTCTTCTACTGTTAAAGGGGGAGGAGTCTGTTGTAATGACCTGGTCCGACCACGGTTCTGAGACTTTTCCTCTTCTGGTTGGAACAAACTGTGTGAGGCAATGGATCCCCAGATTACACAGCGGAGCATATTTACAAGTGAATTATAAGTTAGAGGGTTCGTTTAGTTTTGCTGAAGGTATTCTTTGCACTCCGCCCTACAACTGGTGTCGTTTGTCTATGTGAAGCTTTTACTCTTCATCACAGGAAAAAGCAACAGTTGACAACAACCCCCCCCCAACAACAACAGAGGTGTACATTAAGTCAACACTGTCTGGATCTTCTTCCGTTTTCACCCCCCCTTCCCCACAACGACAATGGATCAAGTCCAGGGTTTTCTGGAGGCCCAGAGCAGAGGAGGAGAAGGGGGTGTTTGTGTAGCAGATAGATATTTGTCTGTGTCTCTTTGTGCGTCATCCTCCCCAACGGTTGGTGATCTTTCAGCCTGATAAGGCTTCCCTCCTCGATGAGGAGATAGCAGGCAGGCAGGCAGCCCACTGAGGCTGGATCCCTGGGCTTATATTTTGGCGGTTGAGATGGGAGACGTGATAAAACTTGGCGGCGATCGCTCCTGCTGATATCGCAGAAAGCAAAAGAGAGGGAGAGGGAGAGGGGGAGGCTGGGCAGATGGAAGGAGAGATGGAGGATGGAGGGCACATTGTAATTACATCTGGCATGTGCATGCCATTTTCCCAGCGTTGTCATGTTGTTGTTGGTGGTTTTGTTTGCGATTGGCTGGGGGTGGATCTCCAGATAATTAAAAGAAGAGAAGGAGCGGAGGGAGAGCAGGAGAGAAAGAAATGTGCTGTGATAAGAGGGAGGAGGAGATGAGGAGAGGAGGTAGATAGTGGGAAGAAAGAGATAGAGAGGAAAAAGTGTGTGGAATACATAACTGGTGGATGCATGTGGTGTGTTTTTGATGGCAGCCCAGCCAGCTGCTCCCCCACCCTCCTGTGAAAGATGTTGGAGGTTGATAAGGAGGCCTGCTGATGGCAGATAGATAACGCCGCGCAGATCCTCACTGCTGATTGGACGTCTGTGTGTGTGTGAAAGCTCGGTGCCTATGACATCAGTGCTGGAGCTCAGAGGTCAGCATGAATAATATGCTGCCTCCCACAGCTTAAAGCAGGACGCCTGCAGAGGCCAGACAAGGAAATCACCTCCTCCTCCACGTTTCCTCCTCCTCCTCTTCTTTTACTTTTTCTTCTTGCACCCTCTCTTCATTTTTTACTTTTCGGAAAACAATGGCTCCACCGCTGTGAAGCTAACAGACGAGGATCTATTAAGACTTTTTAAAATGTAGATAAAAGTTGTAAAATTTAAGTGTTAGAGTGTGTGTGTGTGTGTGTGTGTGTGTGTGTGTGTGTGTGTGTGTGTGTGTGTGTGTTTCCAGGCCGAGGTCTCGTTCTACAGACACACAGTCGTGAGAGTAAATTAATTCTTTGTGAGCGAAAGTGAAATAAAACACACAAGCACGTCTAAATTCCAAGGACCGACACACAAACCCACACCCAGAAAACCCACACAGTGCCTCGGTGGTTGCTTTCCCCTGTGTGTGTGTGTCTGTGTGTGTGTGTGTGTGTGTGTGTGTGTGTGTGTTCTCTCTCCTTCTTTGTTCTGCTTTTAGCTTGATGTGAACTTTCGATAAGCCGCGGGGCCTGATCTCCGGTGCAGATAGAGATCGCCAAGTGTGATTAGAGTTGTTATCAGGCAGGAGCAGGCCGGAGCTGAGGCTCCACTGCAATAACAACAGGCCCAG